TGGTTTATTTTCAACATTTCTGTCTTTACTCATGGGGCTCATGTCCTTACACATGCTGTTGAGCTTCCGCAACATCATGGCTCTAAATTCTAGTTCTGTTAACTTGCTTAACTGCACCTCATTTATTTCATCTTCTGTAGAGGTCTCTTGTTCTTTCATTTGGCTTTTGTTTCTGTTTCTCACCATTTTGGCTATCAAAGTGGGCTTTGGAGTCTGCTAAGTTTTCCCAGTGGGTGTTGGTGTTCTGCTGTTTGTGGCTCCCTCTCCTGGGTTTGGATGTGTCAGGTAGGACCCACTTTAAACACCACCATCAAGTCTTAGCTTTTCTGGTTAGTGTTGCACGCCCAGGGAATGGCAGTTATCCTGTAGCTTTTTTTTTTTTGCCTGGAGGCTATTAGTAGAGGTCACCTGCAGACCCTTGGTTTCTGAGTTGCCTGAAAAACTCCCTCAGGTGCTCAGTGTAATAGGATTTCCTGAGAGTGGAGGCAGGTGTTCGTTGTTAATGGGCCTCAATTAGCATTTCAATGGCCACCAGGTGGGGTTGAATCTCTGAGGGAGGGGCCGCCGCCTCTCCCCAGGGCCCTGGAAGAAGTAAAATGACCACAGTCCTGTGTGGTTGCACTCAGCAACCCTCCAAAACCCGTGTGTCCCCACATAGTTCCAGTCCGGTCTGACTTCCCTCTGCCAGAGCCCAAGGTGAGTGGCTGCTGCCAATTTAGCCTCTGTCCGGAGTCTGCATCCTGGAGCCGCCTGGGGCTTTTAACCCAAGGGCACTGCTTCCAGCCAAGGGCTGTGCTTCCAGGCAAGGGCGGTGCTTCCAGCCAAGGGCAGCTGCGGCTGTGGCACCAGCTGAGGGGGTTGCACTCAGCAGAAGCCCCAGGACTGAGCCGCGATAGCGGGACACTGCAGATGTGGCAGTAGCGTCCAGCACAGTCCCTTGGTCCCCACGATTCTGTGCGGCGCCCGCCGAGGGCTTAGCACGCAGAGTTCACGGGACTCAGCATTGGTAGCAGAATCCCGCCGAGTCCCCCTGGTGCCCGCGAGTCTGTGCGGCTCCGCCGAGAGCTTAGCAGGCTACAGAGTTCCCAGGGCCCATGCAGGGTGGCAAGGGAGGCGGTAGGAGTAACTTCCCGCCGAGTTTCCTGGTCCCTGCCCAGGCCGCTGCGGACTGTGGGCTCCCGGCCCCCTCTAGCGTCCTCGCAAGCCTACCAGGATTGAGTGGTGTTTCTGGTTAAGTGGTCCTCCAAGATGTCTTTCGGCTGCCCTTTCCTGACGATTTGCCTTTATTTTTGTTGTAAATCCAGTTTGGTCTTGGGAGATGGTCTGTGTCGCTCCATTCACTTTGCCGCCATTTTCAGGAATCCTGACATTTCTTTTATTTATTCTTTTATTATTATTATTATTTGCATGCCTCTATCCACAAGAATGTAAACTCTATTAGAAGAGAAATTTCTGGTCTATATTGTTACTGTTTTATCAAGAGTCCACTGAGCAGTGTGCCTTACACATTGTAAGAGCTCAGTAAATATTTTTAGATTTAATGAATTGATTATTTAATGACTGTGTCAACTGTGCATCATATGGCACTACCTATCTAACCTCAACACGCCTCTCCAGTCTTTTGCTTCTTCCAACTGACTTGGCCTGAAGCATTCCTTCCCTGTATTTATGCCTAGGGGAAGCCTATTTACTCTTCAGTTTTCAATTAAAATGAACACATAAAGTCCATTTGTCGTTTGCTTACCTAGTGGTATTTTTCTGGGGAAGAGCATACAAATAAAGTTAATCTTTTAAATCGTAGCCCTGAAATTTATAAAATCAATAACTGTAAGCATTAAGTGGAAGTATGTCAGTAAATATCTGGCATTTGGTAGAAAGATACTCCATAAATATTGCCTCACTTCCCTCTTTCTTTCAACATTGGACCAGGGCTGGCCTCAGAGAGTATAGCATATGGCTTAGTCCCTCCTCCAAATTTTTGTTGAGACACCTCACCTATATTTCCCTTGGAAATTTGATGTGAAGATAGTATGAGTTGGAAGAATAGATTTCAAATCATCTCATTAGCTTCTTTACATGTGTTTGATTATGATATTTAATCTCTGTTTTGTAGTTTATAATAAGGTAATTACGTTAACATTATGAAAATAAATGAAATACAATTTCTAGAACCTTATTTCTTCCTTTTCTGGCTTTAGTTCACACTCCCCTCTCCACCAAAAAGCCTTTTTTTCTCTCCAACTTCATCCTGTGAAACATCATTCATTCTTTAGAACAGTGTAAGTCCTTCTCTTTCATATCATCTTCAATAGCCCTACCTGAGGGTATGTATGCATATATGTGTGTGCACCCATACACACACACCCACACACAGTTCAAGGAGCTTATATTCCAGCAATTTATCTTCTTTGACACTTCTTATGTCACCTACATAACTCATTCTCAGCAGACAATGAGTTTTTGAGGGTAGTATATGCTTAATCTTTTGCAATCCAATGGCATATGTGTATTGAACATAGTAACAACAGAAAATGAATTGACTTTGGTATCTACCTCTGCAGAAAAGCAACTTACAAATTCAGTTTATCCTTCATGCCCTTAAAAGTATATAAAAAGAACTTTATATCAAAATGATATAAAGTAATCATTCTCAAGAACAATGAGAAAATTGGTGATAATCGGGCATTTGCTCACTATTTTAAGGCAATTTTAACATAAATATATGGAAATAGCAGGTCACCTACCAAGGAACTACCTCAAAGACTGGCCTCTGAAAAAAATACTCCCTGCCTCCTCTGTGGGAATCATCCAAAGTTGCCAGAGGCATCAACACTTCAAAAGTTTGCCCAAATATCCCTTCTGGTAAAGCAATAATTATGAGATACTGCAAGAGAACAGTCTTTGGGTTTCATATTTTGGGTACTATAAAAAAATTATATTTTAAGCAATACTATCTTCTCAGTAAAAGCTTAACTCTGGTCTTATGGGATCTACTAATTGAGAATAATTCCAAAAGTAGAAATATGTATCTGCAAAAAGCCTGGACACTAACATATTGAAGATCAAGTGGCAAATTAGAGCTGGGTATTGCATAACATCAAAGAATTGGATAAGCCCCAGTGATCTGAACAAGTCTCTATAAAAAGGGAAACAGCCAACAGAGAGCATGTATGTGAAGAATGAAGCTAAATGCTGCTGAGCCTGTAACAATGAGTGTAGATGCTGCTTTTAAGTGTCATTTACTTATAGGGTAAAAGCTATGGTCCATATTTGTATGATGATCTAAATTATGATATCTATGGATGGCCCTTCAAAACATTTAAAAATGTACACACTGTCAAGTTATTTTGGCCAAAAATAGGTAACCTAGTAGAGTATGCAAAACTGATTAATATTTTCTAATTTAATTTTATCTTCAAATCTTGAAAAAAAATACTGGCTTGGTGACTTAGTGGAAAGATAACCTACTGCTTAATATAAATACATATAGGGGTTTCAAGATGATGCAAAACACTCTCTCACCATTGACATCAGGATAAATTAAATCCACAGAGTCAGCCTCTTTTAGGCAACTGGAATTCCCCACCCCCACTTTGACCTTGCTGCCCCTCTGCTTTTTCACTACTCACACTTGTCTTCAGGGTTTCTACTCCACATTGCCCTTAGTTATTATAATCCAGGAGACCTATTTTTATGGTATGAACCTGGCTGGGGAGACAGATATATTCCTGGCTTTATCCTGGAAAAGAAGGTGGTTCCTCCTGTTCTTTAAAGCACAGTGCCAATAAGATAAGCCAATCTCTCTCTCGCACAGTTGTGGTAGCTAATATCTGAGGGAGTGAGTACCATATCAGAACTTTTGGAAGTTCAGCTGGCCCCATTTAAGGCAAAAGTTATACACAGCAAACTTCTTTCCTCACAAAGCTGGAACAGTTCAGCCTGTAGTCTAGTATGGGTATGTGCAAAAGTGCACCGGTCTGAGCCAGGTACACGTCATCAGTCACAGGTACAAGAAGCCTCGTGACCACAGAGCTTCAGGGAATGCACCTGGAGGGGCTGATCCCTCGCAGCCTCTCCAGGCCTAACACAGCCTGGTTCACGTACTTCCCTGAAGTTAAAGCCACGAGCCTAGAATAAGTGTTTGTTGCCGGAATGCCTATAGATGCCTAGGTCACAGTCATTTGATGTGCTACCGGGAAAATCCTGCACTATGTTGTTGTGCTAAAAATATCTCCCTCCCCACCATCACCCCTATCCCCTTAGGAATGAGAATAGGGAAGAACACTCTCCACCGTTTTATTTTATTTATTTATTTTTATCCTCACCTGAGGACATTTTTCTATTTTTTGTTCAGGTAGAGTGGGAGGGGGAGAGAGGAAGAGAGAGAGAAACATCGATGTGAAGGGACACATCGAGTGGCTGCCACCCGAACGACCAACCAGGGCCGGGGACAAACTGCAACCCAGATACATGCCCTTAGCGGAACCGAACCCGGGTCTCTCGGGACCGCAGGCCGACGCTCTAACCGCTGAGCCAAACCGGCCAGGGCTCTCTCCACCGTTTTAAAGGGTAGTTCATAAAATTTTCCTATCAGTTTCTGTAATTTTTGACACATATGAACGCAAAATAGTCAAACTAGTTTTAAATTAAAGTGTGGTGCTGCCACCGGTCAGAAGAGCTTCTGCTTTGGCATTTCTAATGACTGCTGGCCTCACCCTGACGCAGGTGCTCCACGCACACTGACCGGCTCGAAGGAAGCCACCCACAGCAGACACGAAAACCGAATTACACATCGCAGGAACAAGAGCGGGTTCCCACAGGGCGGAGCCAGCACGGATGTGGGGAGAGGCTGCGGTGTGCACGTGACATCTGCCTCCAAGCCCCACCCCGGAAGCCCCGGAAGCGCCTCTGACTGCGCACTTCCGCCGTCTTCATCGCTCTCTCTCTCCGCCATTTCGGTGCTGACGGTTGACTGGTGCGTGGGTCGACTTTTCTTCGATATGTCTTCACACAAGACCTTCCGGATTAAGAGGTTCCTGGCCAAGAAACAAAAGCAGAATCGGCCTGTTCCCCAGTGGATCTGGATGAAAACTGGAAATAAAATCAGGTACAACGCCAAGAGAAGACACTGGAGAAGAACCAAGCTGGGCCTGTGAGGACTGGCGCACGAGGTGGCTCCCGTCTTTATGCCGTGTCCGGACTGCTTCATCGCATCTGAGCACATCCCCGAGAAGATCGCTACTATCTGGACAGTAGGCATGATTTGGGGGGGCCAATATTTGGAAGAATGAGATTTTTCTCAATATTTTTCTGCACTAAGAGATTTGTGCAGCAATAAATATGTGAGACCTTTAAAAACAGAAGTGTGGTGTAATAGAAGTCTTTTAAGAACAATTTTTTTCCCCTCTCTTTAGGCATGGTGTGATAGAACTGAATTTTTTTAAAATTAGCCCTACCTAACTGGTTACCTGTGCTTCTAAAAAGACAAAAACAAAAAAAAAAGGAATTTTTAATCTCAGAACGCTCCCAACTTTTTATCAACAGGCTCAGTCAGAGGCACTTTTGGCCCGTGGCTTCACGTTTGGCAGGACTGCTGTCTTAGTCCAGAACCATGGCTAATTACCCCGGAATGTAAGACAAGAGCAGGACCTGATTTTAGGCACTGCCCTGGAGTTTCTCTCATCTCTTACCTTTCTCTTAATACACTTAAATACTCCAGTTCCCCACTAATTTAATCTTTTTTTTAATTTTGTTTAATTTATTTGGAAACAGCCTGGCTGGTGTAGCGTACTGGTTGAGCATCCACCAAGACGTCACCAGCTTGAATCAGGTCAGGGAACATGCTGGGGTTGTGGGCCAAATCCCTGTGGGGGGTATGCAGGAGGTGGCCGATCTCTCGTCGATGTTTCTAGCTCGCTCGCTCTCCTTTCCTCTCTCTCTAACATCAATAAAGAAAAAAATTTAATTTAGAAAATTAGCTTAATACAGCCAGAGAGCCTTGGGTGGATGCATCACTCCTCTATTTCTCCCACTTTGTTCTCATTGTACTTTTCAAAAAACAAAAATGTTTCCCTTAAAAGCATTTCATTTTGCCCTGGCTGGTTTGGCTCAGAGGTTGGAGTGTCAGCCTGCAGACTAGAGAGTCTCAGGTTCGGTTCCCACTAGGGGCACGTTCCAAAAAAAAGCATTTCATTTTGATAAAAAAGACTCTGGGTATATGTTAGAAAAGACGTTCTTCACTTGGATCTGAAGATTATGGGATTTATTCTTTGTGACTTTGACACAATAGCTCAAGTCGCTAAATCTTTACATAATAAGCTGAAGGCTTAGAAGAAATTGTTGCATTTTAACAGTCTTTCTCTCTGAACCCTTGTCTATAGCTCCAGGTATACACACACAAATACATGTTTCTGTATTTGGAGAGGAGGTACTATCTAATCTGCCCAAAGAGATGTCTCAAACCCTGTTTTAGGAATCGTGACTTCCGAGTCTTGGTTCAAGTGATGGAAGGTTTACCTCAAGGAAGTTTTAGGGTATTGGCCTTTCAACAAACTTAAGGACAGAAACTTGACAAACCTATAACCCTGTTTGGTACAGTTACAACTATTTTTTCCACTTTGGAACCTGTCTATCCTTTTCTTCATACAGAAGAGGCCTGCGTATATTTATGCTAAGCAATCTGAGAAACTTCCCCTTACTATTTACAATCTAGAAACTACAATATATTATAAGAATTTTGTTCCTTGTTTAAAAAGAAAAAGAGCCCTGGCCGGTTTGGCTCAGCGGTTAGAGCGTCGGCCTGCGGTCCTGAGAGACCCGGGTTCGGTTCCCGCTAAGGGCATGTACCTCGGTTGCAGTTTGTCCCCGGCCCTGGTCGGTTGTGCGGGTGGCAGCCACTCCGATGTGTCCCTTTCGCATCGATGTTTCCCTCTCTCTCTCTGTTCCTCTCTCTTCCCCCCACTCTACCTGAACAAAAAATGGAAAGAATGTCCTCGGGTGAGGATAAAAAATAAATAAATAAATAAATAAATAAATAAATAAATAAATAAAAAATAAAAATAAAAATAATTCTTCACATTTTTCCCACCTTTGGAAAGTTTTCATGGGGAAAGAAAGACCACCTACTCCACTCATCCCCATTTACTACACCTAATACCCCAACCTTGCTGGACTGAATAGGAAGACACTAATATCAGGGAGGATAGGATTAAAGGCAAATTTTTAATCCAGTCCAGAAGGAAATGCAAGGCCCTGAAGAATTCTAACGAATCAGTCTTGGCTTATCTGTAACATACACAGCTGAACGTGAGCTGAGAGAGAGATATACTTAGAGTTCTCTGATTGCAGTTCTTCTAGGCTAATATTATTAGGAAACTCTCATTCTTTAATTAAAGCAAGAATTTGCAGACAACATAAGAACAGCTATGCTCATTATTACAGGGGCAACTTCTGAAGTAGGGCTTATTACAATGAACTGTATTCTTCACTCTGCTGAAAAACCTGCAGAGAAGTGTTAGCAGGAAGTTGCTGAAGTAACTTAGGATGGGCCCAAAGGTTGTAAAACACAGTGGCACAGAGATTTTTGGTGAAAGACAGTTTCTCTTCCTGAGGAAGGGATGTGCTGTTCCCAGGGACTGTCTCGGAAATGTGCATCTCTTCCATAAGCATTTACTGAACAACAGCTGTGTTCGCAGGCTGGCATAGGTACAGATACTATTGATCCTGTGAGTAGTTCTTAGAAAAATCAAATGGCCTGATTTAAAGTGCCACAAAAGCTTCCTGCTTAGAATACTACAGTTAGAAATAAGGAGAAAATCCACTTAACCAAAAGTGATGAAACCAGAATTATGAACTGAATAAATTGAGATTACTATGAGAAAAATTAGTGGTTTAGATCAGTCTTGCAAATACTTTTTTTTAAAATGCTCATTCATAAAATATTACTTTACTTTAATTCTTTTAGATCCAAACATCTTTATATTCTTGTAAAATAGCTGCCTTCTTCTACTATTCTCTCTCTTTTTTTTTTTTATCCCCACCCGAGGACATTTTTCCATTTTTTGTTCAGATAGAGTGGGGAGGGAGGGAGAGAGAGAGAGAAATATCAGCGTGAAAGGGACACATCGAGTGGTTGCCACTCGCACGACCCAACCAGGGCCGGGGACAAACTGCAACCAAGGTACATGCCCTTAGCGGGAACCGAACCCAGGACTCTCTGGACCACAGACTGACACTCTACCACTGAGCCAAACTGGCCAGGGCTTCTACTATTCTTGATACCATTTTATAATAAGGACTATTGCTGCAATAGGGGCAAAAATGAAAACTGGTTTTATTGCAGTTCTAGCACTTACACCAATGTGTCAGTAAAAAAGTCTCAAATTCTCTGTAACTAATTTTCTTATTTCTAAACTGAATAATATATTTATTAAACAATATATCTGTGATCTTATGATGAAGATTTAAAAGTTAATAAGATTATAATTACATATATAATGTTAATATTATATACATAGTATTTTAAGATTAAATATGAGAAAAAACATGATCAGACAAGTGATAAAAGATAGACAAAATAATCTGTTCTTAATAAATATACCAGAATTTACACATCCAAATGTGGTTCCCCCCGCCCCCACAGTAGACACCTTGAAAGGGTGTTTATTTAATAGGATGCTACTGCTCAAAACATGTTGCAATTTTTTTTTATTTGAACTTGCTATCAGAAACCAATTTTTAAGCAACAACAAAAAAAAATCAATCCTAATTAGTTTGTCATTAAAGCTTGTTTAGCAGCTAAACCATTATTCCTAGTTTGACCACCAACATATTCATCACACTTAGGTCTGTTTGGTTCACAGCACTTAAATATTAGTCACATTAAAAAAAGATAACTAGCCAGGATTTTAAAAGTGAATGTTATGGACTCTAAAAGCAATTCCAAAGTAGTATTTCCTGAATTTTTTAAATGAAGCAGTGTCATTGGAATAATTATATAGCTTCCAGGATAATTATTTAGATAAGGCAGCACTATTTGCATGACTATGTACTATGTTTTTGAAAATCAGCTCCAATACTTATTAGTTCTGCTTAAAACATCACAAGGTCCTTCATGGCCTCTAGTTATCATAAAGAGAAGAGAGGATTGATTGATGGGGATGTCTATACCTGATGCCGTTTTAGCTAATAAATGTGAAGTTGTGAGTTTTCCAAAATTCACCTTAGAAATAATATATTTTGAAATATTCTATTCATGAAATTATATTGATTAACTGAATCTCCATTTTAAACATCAGTTTTTGTCAGATAAAACAAAATGAAGTGATACCAAATATCAGATCATATGCAAGGACCTAAAGCAGTTCTGAATAATTAAAACAACAGTTGTCCGAAATCATTTTTCTTGTTTGAATTAGTCAATACTTATGATGGATTAAAAGCAGTCACAAATTTTATTTTGCCCCTCCCTTTAATATCCCCTCCATTTGAATCCCAGCTAGCCCAGTGACATCTTTTTTTTTTTAATCTCACATATATTTTATTTTATTCTTTGTGTGTGTGTGTGTGATTTCTTTCTTTTTTTTTATTAATTTATTTTTGTTACAAATGTTTCTCCTTTTACGCCCACTGACCCCCCCCCTTCCCACCCCTGCACCCATCCCCAGCATTGTTGTCCACGTCCATGGTTATGCATACATGCATATAAGTTCTGTGTTTCATCACTTCACTCCCCTCCCCCCCACCCCCCCTTCTGAGGTTTGTCAGTCTGTACCCTACTACTATGTCTCTGAGTCTATTGTGTTCACCAGTTTGTTTTGTTCACTATATACCACAAACTAGTGAGATCATGTGATATTTGTCTTTCTCTGTTTTGCTTAGGATAATACTCTCCAAGTCCCTCCATGTTGTCTCAAAGGATTAAGAGATCTTTCTTTCTTACAGCTGCATAATATTCCATTGTGTGTATATACCACTGCTTTTTTTTTTTTTTTTTTGGAACCACAGCAGTTTATTTGTCTTTCCAAAATAAAACAATGTAAACATTTGTCATCCCTTACATTCTTTTTTTTTTTAAACAATTCATAAGTTTTTTTTTTTAATTTTTTTGTTGTTGTTACAGATGTTTCTCCTTTTTTACCCCATTGACACCCTCCTC